CTTTGTATCTTGTGATTTTAAAAATTATTTTTAAGGAATCACTTAGAGAATGCTAAAAAAACTGATCTCCACATTCTTTTTTCTCAACCTAAACTATGCTTTCTTCTTGTGAAAAATGACTGGCATTTGTGTTTAAGCCATTTCATCAGATTGTTAAAAGTAAGTAAAATTTTAAATATACTTCAGTTAATGCAAGATTATTAAATAATTTACCCAAATTCATCATTTTGGAAAAATCTAAATCACACTCTATTTTTAACTCATGTGTGAATAACTCTTGACTTTTTGATTATCACAACACCCATTCTACCTAATGGCAATACAGGTCTAGACAAAATGTTATTTAAAGGTTTTACTTTTATTTATTTGGAAAAAGAATGTTTTTGGATATCTCCTCATAATTCTGAATATATTAAATGCCTTAAGTTAAATTCTAATTTAAGAGCATTTTAGCATTTAGTAAATATTAATTACTCAAGATAATGTTTAATATGAAGTAACAGAAGAGGAAAAGAAAAAGATAAATAATAAAACCTAGAGAACACACAAGAAAATAATGCAATTACAAAAGTTACTCTGAACAGGTACACATTTGAAATTCTGATACCAACGTATCCAACATAGAGCAGTTAAACTAGAAGAGCCTATCACTGCTTATAAAACCAAGCTCAGCTATTGGAAGAGAGGACTGCAGTGACAAACAGCTTCCCTGCTACAAAGGTGGCAGGAAATCTATCAAACTGGACAATAAAATTGCAATTGAGTTTCTTTGGCTTTTTATAGCACCTGAATGTATCCTGATGTAGCCCTGCAAAAGCTATCCAATTCTGCAGCATTAGTTTTTCACACACCAGTTCTTTATCAAAAACGTTATAAATTGTTGATACTAAAATTTTAAGTGGCTGAAAAATGAAAACTAAGCATCACTTCAGTTTCATATACATGGAAATGTTTATAAAGCTTTAAAATTGATAAGTTTCAAAGAAAAAAATTGGTTCCAATAATTGCAGGAGAATTTTTAACAGCATGCTACAAAATTGTTCACCTACTTACTGAATCTCTTCAGTGCCATGCTAAACTTTATTAAATAGTGGTTTGAAGGACCTCAGAAGATACTTTCTCCATTTCATTTTAAAAATAGATGTCAAGATGGTAAAATCCCCCAAAATTAACACAGCAACATTCAAATAAAGTATTAAAATCATGTGATAGAAAAAAGATTTTTAGTCAATGTGAAAAATTCACACAAATAAAATTAAGAGATTTATTAAACACGAAAATTAGAGGTGAAAATCCCAAGAACCCATTTCCAACTTAAAATTTTTCTTCCCCCAAACCTACAGTTAAACAAAGCGTAGTGCTTATTTATGTAGAATTCCTCTATCTCCGTAAGACTTTCTAATGAGCATATTATTAGGAGCTTAATGTGTAGGTGGGAAAGAAGGATTTTATGAAAGTTCCTAAAAATAGTTCTCTGCACATGCAGAGAAGCACTCGAAATTTAGAGAGTAGAAGCAGCAGCTTATATTAAAATACAGATTTCTGAGAATATCCCATGAGATTCAGATTCATATTCTGAGGTGAGGTCTAGGAAACTATAACGAAGTGCACATCCCAAGTTACTCTCATCAGGTGATCCCCAAATTATACTCTGTGTGATTTCGGCATAGGTACTTCAAAGACTGCTGCTACAGGTAGTGCTCGGATCATGGGTAAGAGAAGACCGAGGCACACACAGGACCGCATGGCGCCACAGGACAGCTGAACCACAGTCCCAAACAATGATGGTGTATGTAGTTCCTCCTTCTCCTTCCTGCCACAAATTTCAAAGTGCAACTGCCAAGTAGTCAGTACTGAACACAATGCCACGGGAGATATGAATAAATATAAAACCTTTCATCCCTGCTGATGAAAGCTTACGATGAACAATCAAAATAGGATACAGGAATTCACTTTTAACCAATAATATAATACGAGAGACATTACAGAATCATTCATGATTAAATGCCAGTCCACATTTGTTATATTACTGCTCTTCTTTATGTACATTACACACCCTCAAACAAACCAAAAAAATACCATGCTTTTCCCTCATCTGTACCTTTGCTTAAGCCACCTCCTGCATCAATGATTCTCTTCACCCCAAGCTCTACATGCCCAAATCTTATCGACCCTTCAAGGTTGTAGTCAAATGACATTTGTTTAACAAACTTCCCAGATGCCCTCAGGTGACGCTCTCTCTCTTTTCCCTGTGAATCTCTCTTCCAATGCACTTATTCATTCCTGCCTTTTTTCTTGTACATATATTATCTCCCATATTATAAAATAACTTCTTTCAGGATAAGATCTGTTCCTGATTCATCTTTCTATACAATTTCTGCTTTGGCATTAAATGCACGACATTCATCTTTGGGCAAAGCATATGAACAAAAAATCAACCCTCAAACAGGTATGTTGCTGAGTAAGGAGGACCTCACATACTTCCACAAAATGTCTCCTGAGCTCCCAAGGTCTTCAGACTGTACTTTAAGAATTATTGCTCTAAAGTTTACATTTCTGTAGCCATCCTTCCTAAGAACTTGAAAAAAGTAAAGTATATACAAAAGCACATAATTAATGCACATTATTTAGAAAATTTGAAAAATGTAATTTAAACTAGCACTTCCCTAAAATAGATGTATCTGAAATCCAATCCAAATGTATATGTGGCCCAAACTCAACCCTATCGTGCTCATGATCTTTGTACAGGAGAAAACAGTACCAGCAGAAAGTCAGTCTATATTGTAGCAGGACACTACAACAGAAACCAGCATAGCTAGCCATCAGTACAAACTAAAACAAGTTACACAGTAAGTGGCAAACAGTTTCTATAAAGTGTCAAATACTAAATATTTTAACCTTGGGGATCCATATAGTCTTTGCTGCAAATACTCAATACTTTTAGCAATAATGCAGCCATAGCACTACAAAAATGTAGTGACTAAAACAAAGCCATCTTATAAACTCATATTTTTCTTATTTAGCACTGGATTGTTTTCAAACATAAATTTGTAGGATGATATTTTTGATATCTAAGATATCTTTGTAAATCTTTATAATATCATGTACCTTTTTCCCACTACAGATGGAGGAGGCAAATGAACAACTCTTAGGGATTTTCAAATTACTAAGTTATTAAAACACCTAAAGACATATGTTTAGGAAATGATAATATATTCCAATAAAATGACAAAATATTCCAAAATAGTGTGATAGTCAATAAAACAGAACATTTAAAAATATATCGAATTTATCACTTGTTTATTCCTTCTAATCAATTTGTAATTGACATAAATAACTATATAATTATATTATATTCCTTTAGTATATAAAGTTTCAAACAAAGCACAAAAAGCATAAACCATGAAAATAAACTAATAAATTTTATGTTATTTGAAATGTAAAATTTCCTCAGAAAACATGAACATAAAACTCCAAAAATAAAGATAAGCCACAAATTGGCAGAATATGCTCATAGGCAATATGGCAAGCAATGGATTAAGACCAAGAACATAAAAGAGCTCCCAAAACAACAAGAAAATGCAAATTATTACAGAGATAGAGCATTTAAAATTCATCAAAGTTGTAAATTTTTTAAACTCCAGCCATAGCAAATGATGATGTGATACGAAGCAATAAGGATTTCTACATCACTGGTAAGAATGTAAGCTTTGGAAAAGAAATTCCATTACATTGTAATGTTTACCATCTGCATCTTACAAATCAGCAATTCCACTACTGGGGATATATTTAGAGAAACTTCCAAATATATACAAAATGTATCAAAAATGCTTATCAACTAGGAAATGGAAAAAGTCATACCATGGAATACAGCTGAGAAAATGAACACAACTACATGGGTCTATATGGAAGCATCTTAAACAGTGATGAGTAAAAAGAGCATATTGAAAAAAAATGGATTATATCATTTATGTTAACCATAAATATGAAAAATAAAATTCTTTATTGTTTAGAGCTATATACATATGTCATTAAAAATATAGAGAAAGACATAAAAATAATGAAAACATCCAGTTGAGTTTAAGCAAAGAGGAGAGAGGGGCTAACAATGGTAGACAAAACAATTGGGATGGGGAAGCCAATTTCATAATCAGTGATACGTATAATGTTCCTTATAGCTTTTGGTGTATCTAGACTATTTCATTAAAAACTTTTAAACAAAAGATACACATAACTAACTTACATTGGCTTAAGTTTAAAAAAACAAAAAACAGATAAACACATTCTTCCAAACCACTTTTTTAACTGACTGAAACACAAGTAAAGGGCAAACTTTAGCCAAATCTTTTCTGTTTAATCAACCACCTTACATTACTACAGTAACTTCTCATCTTTGAATACACTGCGCCACCTTGTGTTCAAAAGCTTCAAACTACTATGAAATTCAGAGAACCATAACCTGAAAATCGACAATATAAATTCCTTTATTCTGTGGCATGAGATTTCACTTTATTAAATTAAGCATTTATTAAAGTGACATTTGAAAAAGCTATTTTGACTGAAAAAATTGGAAACACTTTTTCTTCTCAGTGATTCCCTTTTTTATTTTTTTATTTTTTTATTTTGATATCATTAATGCACAATTACTTGAACATTACGGTTACTAGACTCCCCCCAACATCAAGTTCCCCCACATAACCCATTACAGTCACTGTCCATCAGCATAGTAAGATGCTATAGAATCACTACTTGTCTTTGTATATACTGCCTTTTCCATGTCCTGCCCCCCCCACATTATGTGTGCTAATCAGTGTCCCATTTTCCCCCTTATCTCTCCCTTCCCACCCACCCTCCCCTAGTGATTCCCTTTTTTAGTTGTTTATTTCACTGCACTTTCAGAGAACAATCTGCCTTTTTTTCCTTGACTTTAAGTATATAAAAAATTTTAATGAGTAAAACTCAAAATTATAGACATCTTAAATAATAAAATTAAAACTTACCTTTGAATGTGTGATTGATAAGGTGTCTATCCACACACGCCAGCCACCCCACTCATACTTGACTGCATGGTAAAGCAGGATTCTGAATATGGCATATACCATTTCGGTTATCTTTTGCTCATCTGAATTCTTAGGATTAAAATAGCAGAGAGAAAGCATCCACTCTTGCCACACAGAACACTGAAGCAAGCTCCTGAAAATTGTAACAAGATATTGAACTACTTAAAAAAATAAATCATCTAAAAGAATTCTAAACAGTACAAGTTTAGTCAAAAGCAGTATCAAAAAAAACTCCACCTTTATGTATGTATCCAAGACAAAGAAGGCAGGACTGAAAACTCAAATGTACAGTACATACCTACAGAACCTTAATGAGAAAAAGCATATGGAAAATTTGTTTCATGGTATTTTTAAAGCGATTTTTCTTAGAAAAAATGGGCTTATTCAAATTTAGGCCCAACGACTGCAAATAAATGCTTTCTGAACCTGCTTACCTTCTGTTTTCTCTACTGTTATTAAAAAGTTTAATCATGTCAGAGAGAAAGGCTCTGCGAACTTCCACGCTCTCTGGGCACTGGGGAGAACTTCGAAGTAGAGTCGCAATTACTTTTAATATCTCTGTAAGACAATTCATAAATTAGTAAAAACCAAAACACTACAAAAATTCATGATGGAAGATTATCAATATACTAGAATTTCTCTAGTTTCCCTGGCATAAATGTCCACTGAAAATACTTTTTTGTATTACAAAAAAATCATCTGCAAAAAAGGACAATAAATTCATTAGAAAGCATCAACAATAAAGGGTTATTTTTAATTTCATCATTAGAATGTATAAAAGTAGAGTTGAATTTTAAAATGTTATAATAAATCAAGTTAAATTATAAATGTTAAATGACAATAAACTGCTGACAACTCTCCCAAATCTCTGCCAATTAGTAGTTGGTCTTAAAAGAAAAAAAAAAAACTATCAACAAAATCTCAGAAAAAGAATTAATTCAAGAAAATTGATGGTATACACATACCCCTTCCTTTATTAAGTTTAAAAGCTGTCAAGATTCTCTTCCATAATTTTAAAAGTAAAATTACATTACCAAAAAAAAGGGAAACTAAAACCTATTCAACAACCCAAACGGAACTGCTACTGTAATGGTCTGAAATATAAAATATAATACAATCTAAATATTCAGCACTTAGGTTTAAGAAAACAAATAATTTATCAAATTTTATCCAATTAAAAATTAAGGAATATAAACCAGCCTTCAGCCAAGGTTTTTGGTGATTCTGAAGCAGTAAGTTCAACACAACAAATATGAAGATACTTTGTCACACAATTAATGATATTTGGGGAGCAATTTCTGAATTCTAATAATAAATTCAAATTTTCTCTATCTGAACAATGATTACAATGATGATAATCATAATAATGATACTGATAATAATAGTAGCCACTTATTTTGAAGATATACTCTGATGAGCACTATGAGGCACTGTTTTAAGAAAATACAAGTATTAACACACTCAACTCATACACAATGACAGCTAAATACTATTATTTTCCCATTTCAGATAAATGTAAAGTACAATGAAATTAAGTAATTTACACAAAGTCACATAACTATTTAGACACGCAGAGAAAACTGAAAGCCAGGCAGTCGATGTTTTTAGACACCATTCTACAGTGCCTGCCCTTCTGCCCTTAGCCTGTATACTATGTAAGACAGCCTAAGATTCTTACTTCAGTAAATCATCTTCCCCATAACCACATAAAATATAAATCATATATCTTTTTCAAGATTTTCTTCTCTTTTACTTACTGATATAATGAAATCATGTCTCCCTTAGGGCTGAGAAAAATTAAACTTCAGAGACATGTGATTTTAAAACTAATACTGAAACAGAGTACCACAAACACAAATACAACTCACCACACAAAAGGTAATTAAATTCAAAACTCTACAAACCAGTTATTTCAATGCCAATAATCTTAAAAAGCAAGATGAAAAATGTACACTTTGTACAAGTACTTAAGAATTCTAAATAAAAGACAGTTGAACAAGACTAAGCTCATAAACAATAAAGAGGGTGGATATTTTTCAATTCCAAACTTGATATTCATAAAATGACAATAATTAAAGATGAAAGCTACCTTCATGGTTCATGTAATTAAGCCTGACATCACTAAATCATATAATCAAAACTTTACTGAAAATCTGAACATACGTTAAATCAATATCTTATGCATATAATTCTTCAAAGCCTCTATATTAGCATTTCCACATAATCGAAGGTCAATTTGAAGTTATGTTCAACATCAAACACAAATAAATTGAGTATTATATCATTGCTGGTAATGAAATAATCTTCAAACCATGTGTGTTTCAACACTATCAACTTGAGGGTTTCTTTTGTATTAGCAAAAGGTATATTTAAAAGTATTAAAAAAGCCAGTAATGGAGAATTGGATAAAGGGTTCAAAGAATACAAACGTCCACTTATTAACTGAATAAGTTCTGGGATGTAACATACAAAATGGTGACTTCAGTAAATGATACTGTATTGTATATTTGAAAGCTCCTAAAAGAGTTGATCTTAAAAGTTCTCACCACACATACACACAAAAAATTTTAACTATGTGAAATGATGGATGTATGAACGACCTTACTGTGGCAATCATTTCACAATATATACATATACCAAATCATTAGGTTGTACATCTTAAAATTAACACAATGTTGTAGGTCAATTATATCTCACTAAACTGGAAAAAAAATCAAAGTATGTAAAATACATACGAGGATTTTGTATCTTTACTGAAGAATCAGGATCCGGATGTTGTTTATGTAACACTTGAGTACAAATCTGTTCTATAAGAATCTACAGAAGTAAAACAATAGATTTTAGCATAATCACTGTATTAACACCACTATTAATGAACTTTAAGTATATTAATTGATATTAAGTATTCAATCCAATATTATGTTAAGTATCTTTTGCATAATATAAGTAATTTCAACATTGTAACTCTATTTCAACTTAAATATGAGACATCACAAAGTCAATACAATGGAGGAATTAGAAAGATGTCCACACCACTTAATTACTCAGTTTAATAGATTTAAGATGAAGCCGTATTTCCTTTATATAAGTCATTTCATAATTGTACATCAAACCTAAAATGATCTTATTTCATCTAGACACTATCAACTCAATTATACAGGCACTCCCAAAATAAGAAATTAGTAAGATAAATTCTAACTACATTCCTACCTCAAACAGGACATTATACGTGGTCATTGTCATTAAATTTGTCTGAAGCATGAGTCTTTCAGCTAGCAGTGAAAATAATCCATGTCCAAGCATGACTTCAGCTTTTCTTCTGTGATTACATAGAAAGAAATAATCACATGCAGTTTTATTATTAACTATTTAGTGCTCATGTTGGATGAAGGAGGCACTAAAATGTCTGTCATATTACCACCAAATCCAACTCAAAACTCTCCCAATTTCCTTTGACCTAAAACTCATAATGGCACAAAATCTTTAAGTAGAGAAATAAAAAACTACAATGTAAGCAAAGCTACAGTTAGAAAAAAATACAAGATTGGCTATGCCATAGCACAGCAAAATTCCCCACCAAAATCTTCAAAGCAAATATTCATTAATTAGTTGCTACTCTCAATCAGCACTGAGCTAAGCTCTACTATGGATATTAATGTAATGCCCAGTAAGTAGTTAAGTAGAAAAACAATGCAGAGGAACAGGTAGAAGAAATGTTAAGGAAAGATAAACTAGAGGAACCACCACAGAACACAAATACTATTCTGAAAATTTCTAAAATAAATAATATAAAACAGTCCATTTTAGACTTCATACATACTCACTTTGGGGCGAGGTTTTTTAAAAAATAGCCCATTGCCTTGAGAGCTTGTACTCTGATTCCTTCACTGGTGGATGCCATAAGTTTATAGATAACACTGAATGAATTAAAAGTAAATACAACTTACTCTGAGTACATTTTTCTAAAGTAACAATTTTAGATATATATGTACATATATTTTTATAATCACATAAACTAATTTCAAGTAAAATATGCATGAAATTAATATATATTTCTGATATTCAGAAACTTTCTCATCAAGTATATGTTGTCTTCAAGAAACCCACTTTAAATTTAAAGATACATGTATATTAAAAGTAAATGAATGGAGAAAAATATATCATGCTAACACTAATCAAAAGAAAGTAAGAATAGCTAAATTAATTTCATACAGATTACAATTCAAAGTAAAGAAAGGTATCAGGAATAAAGAAGGCATTACATAACAATAAAGGCGTCAACTTTCCAAGAAGACTTAACAGTCTTCAATGTATGTGTCTAACAGCAGAGAATAAAACTATATAAAACAAAAAATGACAAAACTGCAAAGAGAAACAGATTAATCCACTATTACAGTTTGAGACTTCAACATCCATCTCTCAGGAATGGACAGATCCAGCAGGTATTAAACTTTACTAGCACAGCTGAACTCCACAATACCATCAGTTGACTGAATATAATTGACATCTATCGACCACTTCATCCAACAATAGGAAAATACAGATTTTTCTTAACCTCACATGGAATATTTACCAAGGAGATGACATCTGGGCCATGAAACACACCTAAACAAATGTAAGGATTAGAAATCACATGTTTGCTGTCAGACCACAATGAAATTTAACTGGAAATCAGTAACAGAAAGATAACTGCAAAACCCAAAAATACTTGACCATTAAACAACATACTTCAAAATAACATGTAGGTCAAAGGGGAAATATCAAAAAAAATTGAAAGCATCTTCAACTATGTGAAAATGAAAAAAGAACACAACTTATAAAAATTATAACACACAGGAAAAGCAGTGTTTACAGGGAAATTTATAGCACTCAATGCATATATTAGAAAAGAGGAACAATCAAATCAATAATGTAAGTTTCCACCTTAGAAAACAAGAAAGTTCAACCCAAAGTAAGCAGAAGAAAAGGAAAAGTCATAGAGTAGACATCAATGGAATTGAAAATAAGAAATCAACAGAGAAACAAAAAACCAAAGCCTGTTTTTTGAAAAGAAATCATAAAATCGATATGCTTCTAGCCAAGCTAAGAAAAAAGAGGTAGGACACAATTTACTAATAACAGAAATGAAAGAGGAGACATCACTACAGATCTCACTGGCATAAAAAGGATAAAGAAATACTCAGAACAATTCTACTCCAACAAATTTAACCAGATTAAATGGACCAATTCTTTAAAAAGACAGTCTGCCAAAACTCACAAAAATAAACAGATGATCTGAATAGGCTTACAGTTACTAGAGTCTAATAGGATCATAAAATAGAGTTCTCATCAAAAAAATTAAGTACAAAAACTAGCCACACTGAAAAAAGTTCATACAACTTAAATGTACAATAGGTAAAATAAAACATTCATGAGATGAGCTCACTATCAAGACATAAAAAGCAAAGAAAACAAACTCGAAAATCAAATTTATCATACATGAGGATTCTGTATCAATCTAGTAACTATAATGTTGCTCATGTAATTGTATATTAATGATACCAAAATAAAAATAATAAAATAAAAATAAAAAAAATCTGAAGAAGAAAAAAGATTGAAATAAACTAAAAATAGGATTAGGTAGATAGACATCAAAGCTCTAATATACATGCTACTAGAGACCCTAAATAAAAGGAGAAAGATAAAACTGAAGCAAAATATATTAAAATGAGGACCTCAAACTTCCCAAACTTAGTAACAATCACAGAGAAAACTGCAATGAAATCACAAGAGGAGCTAGAGAATATATCTTGAAAACAAGTAAAAAACCTAATACATCACATTTACCAAAGAAAGATCTGAATTACGAGATTTCTCATTAGAAACCATGAAAAAACATTTTAAATTACTAAAAGAAACAAAAGCTAGAAACACAGAATTCTGCATGCAGCAAAATTATCCTTGGGTGATGAAGGCCAATTAAGATCATTATCTGAAGAAAAACTAAGGTAATATGATGTTTCTAGCAAAAACCTTCAAGAAGAAATGCTAACACAGCTTTTCGGAAATGAAGGAAAAACAAACTAAATTGTAAGTATCTGGAAAAATGTGTAAATTTTTTTCTTCTCTTAAATTCTTTGAACTACATATAACAAATGAAACTGAAAATTATAACATTGTCAAGAGCTTATATTAGATATAATATGTAATAAGGAAAAACAGTGGAGATTAATGGGATCAATATAGTTGCAATGGTTCTATACTGTATTTGAAGAGGTAAAATACTAACTCTAAGTAGACTGTGAAATCTCTACAGCAGCAACTAAAAAAACTACACAGAGACCTAAACTCAACAGATTAATTTTTTAAAAAATACTAAACAAATTCCAATACAAAGAACACATGAAAGGAAAAACAGAGGGAAAAAAATTACACTAGGACAAATAAATAATATTAGAGGAAAAGAAAGTCATATAAATTATAAATAGTATTAAAAGTAAATAGACTAAACCTAATGAGAAGAGTTTCTCATACTACATAAAAAAAGAGCAACTACATTGTGTGTATTAGTCATAGTTTTCTGCAGAAGAACCAACAGGATGTGCTACAGATTTATTTTAAGGAATTAGCTCACACAATCATGGAGGCTTGATAAATCCAAAATCAGCAGTGCTAGATGAGTACCCTGGAGACTGAAGAAAAGTTGTGGTTCAAGTCCAAAGGGACTCTACTGGCAGAATTCCTCTTTGCCTGGAGATGGTAGTATATGTTCTATTAAGGTGTTCAACTGATGGATGGTAAATGTTAGTTAATCTCTTTCAAAACAATACATTCACAAAAATATCCAGAATAATGTCTGACCAAATACACAGGCACTGAGACCCAGCCATGTTGACATAAAATTGGCCATCATACTGTGTCAACTAAATTTAGAGATATAAATTAAAAGTAAAAGGATGGAAAAAAGATATATTATGCAAACCCAAAGCAAAAGAAAAGTGGATTAGCTAATGAATGTCAAACTAAGTAGATTTCAGAACTATGTCCAGAGATAAAAAAATAAAAGATGCAAGCATATAACCATCAATTTATCAAAAGACTAACAATCCTAAATATATATGTACTTAACATCAGGGTTAAAACACATGAAGCAAAAATTGAAAAGAGTACATACAAAGATAAGTAGAAAAGAAAACATAGCTATAGTCAGAAATTTCAATAATTATATCTCAATAAATGACAGAACAGAGAAACAAAGTATCAGTAATGACACAGAAAATCTGAACAGCACTATCAACGAGTTTAGCCTTACATACATTTATAGAACAATTCCGTCCAAAAACATGAGAATACACATAATTCTCAAGTGCGCATGGAACGTTCATCCAGATATACCATATCCTGGACCATAGGCAAGCCTCAATATATTTAAAAAGATTCAAGTCATACAAACATGCTTGCAGACCACAATGAAAGTAAAATTCAAACATAGAAAGATCCCTGGAATATACTTATAAATGCCATACAAATAAAAGAAAAATCAAGGAGGAAAATAATATATTTTGAACAGTATGAAAATTAGATTAAACTTTCTCTAAACATAAACACTTTATCCTTAGGAAGAAATTTATTCCACTAAAAGCTTATGTTCAAAAAGAAAGTGTCAAACAGTCATAATAAATCTAATCAATCTCTAGATTTGCCTGGAGATGGTAGTATATGTTCTATTAAGGTGTTCAACTGATGGATGGTAAATGTTAGTTAATCTCTTTCAAAACAATACATTCACAAAAATATCCAGAATAATGTCTGACCAAATACACAGGCACTGAGACCCAGCCATGTTGACATAAAATTGGCCATCATACTGTGTCAACTAAATTTAGAGATATAAATTAAAAGTAAAAGGATGGAAAAAAGATATATTATGCAAACCCAAAGCAAAAGAAAAGTGGATTAGCTAATGAATGTCAAACTAAGTAGATTTCAGAACTATGTCCAGAGATAAAAAAATAAAAGATGCAAGCATATAACCATCAATTTATCAAAAGACTAACAATCCTAAATATATATGTACTTAACATCAGGGTTAAAACACATGAAGCAAAAATTGAAAAGAGTACATACAAAGATAAGTAGAAAAGAAAACATAGCTATAGTCAGAAATTTCAATAATTATATCTCAATAAATGACAGAACAGAGAAACAAAGTATCAGTAATGACACAGAAAATCTGAACAGCACTATCAACGAGTTTAGCCTTACATACATTTATAGAACAATTCCGTCCAAAAACATGAGAATACACATAATTCTCAAGTGCGCATGGAACGTTCATCCAGATATACCATATCCTGGACCATAGGCAAGCCTCAATATATTTAAAAAGATTCAAGTCATACAAACATGCTTGCAGACCACAATGAAAGTAAAATTCAAACATAGAAAGATCCCTGGAATATACTTATAAATGCCATACAAATAAAAGAAAAATCAAGGAGGAAAATAATATATTTTGAACAGTATGAAAATTAGATTAAACTTTCTCTAAACATAAACACTTTATCCTTAGGAAGAAATTTATTCCACTAAAAGCTTATGTTCAAAAAGAAAGTGTCAAACAGTCATAATAAATCTAATCAATCTCTAGGAAGACTAAACTGGAAAAAAAAAAAGCATAAGTATCAGAAATGAGAGAGGGTGACATCATTAGTAGCTCTGCAGATAGATAAAAATAAAAACAATTTTATAGCAATAAATTTGATGTCACTTTCAACAAAACAGACAATTTATTGGTAGATTCAAACTTGCCAAAGCTCATCAGAAACAGATAAATTAAAAAGCCCTCTATATATTAAGAAAATTAAATTTTTAGCTAAAAACATCCATATGAAGAATTCCACCCCTAGATAATTTCATTGGTAAATCTAAGCAAACATTTAAAGAATAAATAATAATGGTTCCATACAAATGCTTCAGAAAAACTTCCCAAAGTTTTACTTACCAAATCCTTCTATAAGGCCAGCATTTACACTGACATTTAAATCAGCAGACTATGAGTAAAGCAGATTACACCCCACAATGTGGGTGGGCCTCATCCAATCAGCTGAAGGCCTTGATAGAAAAAAAGATTCATCTTCCTAGAGGAAAAGGGAATTCTGCCACCAGACTGACTTTGACTCAAACTGCAAAATTAACTCCTACATAGGTCTCCACCTGCCAGCCTACCCTGTAAATGTTGGACCTGTCAACTTCTACAATAACAAAAGACAATTCCTTAAAATAAACCTCTCTCCCTCTCTCTCTGTTCTTACAGCCTGCTTCCCTCCCTCCCTCCCTCCTTTTCTCTCTCACACGTGCACACAAACATTATTGTTTCTCCGAAGAATTCTGAAAACAAGCATGAAGCCATCTTCTAACTTACAAAGAATGAGTATTGAAAGATGCCAAAAAGGATCTGCAACAGAGGATCAAAGTGGTAAATTTACTGTAACTAGATCATTAGTTACTGATACACTGTAGCTGATAACCCACCACATAGTTGTTAAACTTTCGTGGCCCAGAAACCTTTTTATTAAATGAATTATTTAAAACCAAAGCATTCTGTTTGGCTGATGATGATTGCCATGGACTGAATGTATACCCGTCAATTTATATGTTAAAATCATAACTCCCAGTGTTGCTACATCTCTGGAGATGGGACCTTTAAAGAAAAGGAAGTAATTCAGACTATATGAGGTCATAAGAGTGGGTTCCTGATTCAACAGCATTAGTTTCCTTATAAAAATAGAAAAGAAAGTTTTCCTCCCTTTGTCTTCTTCGCCCTTCTGTCCCTCTCTACCACTCTCTATCCCTTTCTTTTCTCTTTTTTCTGCCCATGCAGACACAAACAGAGGTACTGTAAACACAAAACAGGAAGGTGGTTGTGTACAAAACAAGAAGTGAGACCTCACCAGACACCAACCCTGCTGGCACCTTGACCTTGCTTCCAGTTACGAGAACTGTGAGACTATTCATTTCTGTTGTTTAACCTACCTGGTCTATGTTCTGTTATAGCAGCCCAAGTAGGTTAATGCAATGATGATTTGGGATTGGTGGTAGAAGTGCTATTTTAAAGGGAGGATAGAGATCTTCTTTGAATCACAATGGAACACTATATAGTGCTAGGGCCTAAAGATAACCCAGCTAAAAAATTAAAGCTTAGAATAGCTGTATAATAGCACTAAACAAACAAAATACTGAAATGATCTTCCTGATGTGTCTTCACAAATAGTAACAAAGCCTCTATGTAATTAAAGATATCTTCAAAAGCGTAACACAGAAAATAAAGGGGTCTTATATCTTAACTCATATTATAAGATCCAGCAATACTTTTCATATCTAAGAACCTTCTATCATTTCCAAACTATTCTCATATTAAGTACATTAAAATTCTTGATATATTAAACTCTTACCGTAACCCATTCCTTTGGTCAAAAGCAGGAATCATAGAGTTGGGATGTTCTGACATTAATGCAACAAGCAGCTGTAGGACATCCATTAGATTATCATCCTAAAATAATTTTAGAATTTTTTTAATAAGGAAAAAAGTTTATCTGAATACTGAACACATCTTAATGCAAATTTCAAATTAAAAAAATGAGACATTTTCAATATTTAACAAAATGGTTCATTACATTTATATAGTCATCTTTATAATACCTCAAAATACACATATCCAAGTTAAATAATTTCTTAATCAAAGAAGTACAATTCCCTTTATATTACATTGTATCAAGATTTCTTAAAACATGCATTAGTGACACAGTAGATGTGACTCAACAAGTCTGTTTTTTTTTTTCCAAGGAAGTTTTATACATCAAGAAAGTAAAGAAAGGGAGACTAGGTTGTTCTTTTTGACTACAGCAAGACATATCAGAGTCTTTAATATGCTAATAGATGTTCTGAATCTGGTGGTAGTGTTGGGGCAATACACTATTATCATTTCCTAAATTTATTTCACTTAACCATTTATTCACACTGAGCATCTCAAGAAAATAGTTCCAAAAGAAGTTTTTTGGGAAAATAAAAACTGACGAGTTCTATATTATGCTGACAGTATTGTAGACATAGATGATCAATAAATGTTTATTGAGTTAACATACGATTGTGTGTGTATAACTTGATAGCACTCACGAAACAGCACAGTAGCACTTATGTGTTCTGCAATCTTTTTAAAAAAAGAATATCCCAACATAGCCTTTGGTAAATACTAAAGTATATATGTGTCTGACTAGGACCAACTTGGGCAATACTGACAAAAAGAGGAAAAGGGAAGCAGCTATCAGGAGCTAGCTATCTTGGTTGCCCTAGCTCTAGGTTGTCATTCACTGCTTTTAAACTTTTGGTATGGGGGATACTTGAACAACTAATTCTCCATAATCTAAGTAGTTGTTCTAGAGTTAGGGCACTGAGCCTTCCAGAGAGTGTTGTATGAAGA